GTTGGAATAAATAAATAAAGTAGTTGGAAAAACTTAGCAAAAATATATAATGAAATACAAAAATAAAATAGTAAAAAATGTGACTGTGTTACGGTTTGTTTTGTGAGCTCTGAGTAAACATCGAACAAGGTCAAAGTTTTAGCAAGTTTATTGTTAGAAATTTCAGCTGGAAGGGAAGGTAGGGACCGGACTCCGGGGTCATCAACTCTGAACACAGAAATTTTGGGTTAGGTTGAGTCAAGAAAACATTATTAATTGTAAATATAAAGTGAGACACAACCTCTCCTTCTGGGCGGAAGTCCGGGTTGAAACAACAGCTGATGTGTTTTGGTTCCTGGCTGTGTTGTCACGAGGAGCGACAATATCGCTGGGCTTACTCTGGGTCAGAAAATGGTCAAGGGTCATACACAAGGTGATCAGATGTCGTTACCAGGTTTGAAGGGGAAAGCTCAGTCGTTGGTCCACAGAAACGTTCAGGGGTCGAGATCCAGGAAGTCAGATGTGTCGCGGTACCGTTCAGGGAGCAGACGAGTGACAACAATCCAATGGACAGAAAAAAGGTCGTTACCGTGTGAGCAGATGGCAGGTGAGGTCCGACAAGGGCTAAGGCTGGAGACGAAAAACCAGGAGACATGAGCAAGGTCGGGGACATGAGACTAGAGCAGGACAAGGGACAAGAAAGCTGGAAGATCATAGACGAGGCTGATGATTATCTGGCGGCGAGCTGGAGGACGAGACAGGGTCATATACTGCTGACAGGTGAGTGAAATGAATCTGATTGATGTCTCAACGGGAGGGGTGAAAACAATGAGTAGGAGCTGGATGTGAACTGGGATGAACTGAGGCATGATCTGGGCAGACAAGGAACAGAATCATAACAGAGCCCCCCCCCCAAGGTCCGGCTCCTGACGGACCTCTAGCTGGAGCTGGCTGACTGGGGTTGCTTCTCTCTGATGAGGGCTTTATCATGGACATGGTGAGCTGGTACCCATGATCTCTCCTTCAGTCCGTATCCCTCCCAATCGATAAGGTACTGGATGCCTCGACCCCAACGACAGGACTTGAGGATGCGGCGAACCGTGTAAGCTGGGCCTCCATCGATGATTCGGGGGGGAGGAGGGGGTCTGGAGG